AGTCGACATATGATATGTCATTCTATTCAGAGTGTCATTTTTTATCGAATAAAGTAGCAATATACCGAGGGTGCCTTTAAAAATCAAAAGATGTAATCATTTCGGTGAAACAGGAAGAGACCAAAAACAATTGAATACGTCAATAAATCCTAATTTATGTCATATACCTACTAACATACAAATCTGTTTTTGTTTATCTGAAAAAATAAAAAAGTTATAGGAGTGAGCCACTTTTGAGACGACCCGGTATATTAAAAAATATTGTTTCATAATGTAATATCATTTTAAAATTCTTGTATGTTATTTTAGATTCTGAAGATAATTTTAGAATAAACCGGAATATATTTATAATAAAAACATTATTAATTATTAACAGGGTTATAATTATGATTTTGTTACAAGATTTTACATTTTACTAAAATATTATCTAAATAAGCGCCTTTCTACAACAACGCCACTGACTCCTAATGGGTAAATTGAGAGTTGCCTACCGGTCAAAAGTCGTTTCAAGACTTAAATGGATTATTTAAGTCAAATTTCTTGCAAATTTGGCACTGGCGAACCATATTTTATAGTTCTTGAACAGAAAAAGTCAATAAAATAAACATTTAAGGACTACAAGCTAAGAAAATGCGTTAATACAGCCGGGGAGATAGCGGCAACAAAGCTTTACCGCACACGTCCGACACGTACTACAAGGTAGTAAATGAATGAATAGGCTACCTCGCCTCTAATCGGTGTTGTCATATTGTAAAGAACTTATCCTTTTTAAACAGTATCCGACTTATAATTTAGTAGTATAAGGACTATTTAATACATCTATGGAATATTAAAACCTACTTTATTAAACTGTAGTATTAATATCTCAATATATGTGTATAACAAGAAAAAAAATATTGATAATATTAAAGACGTGACAACATAGGTTGGATGAGGAAGGCTCGGTCGACTGTACCCAGAAGTAAACATGTGTACAAAAAAGAATTTGAGATGTAAATAGTGTAGTCTATATTTTATTTTAAGTCTATGGTTTCGTCGGATTACTTAAGGGACCAGAAAAATAAATATACATTTCTTTCATTTTTTTCAACACTTGCGCAATTTGATTGATTATTTTACCAATAATATTAAATTATCAATCCACAATTCATATACAGGGTGGCGCACCTCATTCGCCTCGGTTGATTATACAAAAATGGAAAAATGTAGAAGCAAAATATTTTATGGGTATATGTAGGAAGACAATGTGCATAATTTAAAATTATTTTCAAATATACAGGGTGTGTCAGAACTAAGATCTATACCAAAGTTATACTTTTTCGTATTTAACACCCGGTATTTTTTGTTTTATTTTTGGATTCTTGGGCATAAAATAAGGCATTTATTATAATGGTATAATATGTTTAAAACCTTTGGTTATTGAGATATTTAAAGATGTTTAAATATATGCATGCTATAATAAAACGGTTTGTCAACACCCTGTATATTACTTTTCAGAATTACAACTTGTGCTGACTTTTAAGCCAGAGAAATGGACTTTACTAAAAAAACTGATTGCTTCCTAAAAAGTATACAGGTGTATCAAAAATTGCTGGTCTATTTTAAATATTTATTTTACATAAAAACTTCGTTATTTCAAATGCAAAACCGAATGCTACCGAATCTACTCCATTTATACTCAAACCTTACTCTAGCTTAACGGAAAATAAAATAAGAAGAGCAGAAAGGAGGCGAAGGTCGAGTTTTCCCAAGCGGGTGGGATTTTTCGAGCGAAAAATGGTGAAAAATTGTCCAATTTCCTCGTATACCCGCATTGCTATTCCGGACGTACAGTAAACGGTGCCATTTCTCAAACAGGAAGGTCGACCTGAGATTAAGGAACGAATTACACGCGGAAGCACTTTTCATGGCGCCTTTTTCTCATTTACATAATTAGAGTCATTTGATGAGGAATTAAACTAGAATTTCCAAAAAGAACACCGTAAGATTATAACACTGGATAGTAATGCATCACTCCAAATCTATCAATACCAGTGTGAATAATAATACTGAAAAAATAAAACTGTTAGTGAAAAATCCTTCTTTTTGTTTATTTTATTTTAACGCGTTTGGGGACAAAACTATATTTTCGTGTTTTTTATTTTTCTCTAAAATGGAAATTTGGAAAATGTTGTTGTGATTAAAGTTTTATTGTTCATAAAAGTTCAGAATAAAGTAATTACAAAACGTTTTTAAAAACTATTAACAGAAAATTTAGTTATGGGCCCTGTAATAATATAACTACCGTATGATAGAATAAAAACGGCGTCAGCGATGGTTATGAAATGAGCATCGCTGACATTTCCTATATAAATTTACATATAAAATGACAGCGATATTCATTTCATACCCATCGCTGACGCCGTTTATTTTCGATCATACGGTATATATAACTAAAAAAACATCCACTGTTGCTACCAATTTACTATTGTAGATAAATAAAAGTACACTGCTATAAATTTTAATAAAGTCCATAAACTAATTTCGATTTTGAAAATATAGGAAAATTTTTTCCAAACCAAACTTTCGTTGTACGTCATCAATGACATCATGCGTCGTCTTATAGAGTTTTCTGGTGGTCGTAGTATGATGTGCAACCATGGTACAAAGAATACAAGGTATGATCGATAGCGGCTCCAATTTCGTTCGGTTCGCGCATACCACCGGTGACGTCACTAGGAAAATAATGAATAAATAAAAAATAAAGAAAGTTGACAGGAGATCTGCATTTTTGGGGTTATGGTTAAGAATTGTTTATTTTTAAGACTTTTTAGTTCGTTTAATTTAATAATTACTAAAACCAGCAGTTCCAAAAATATATTTAAAAATAATAATTATCTATTAACATGGATTTGGACGATAATAGGTAAAAATACTAAATTTATTTCTATATTCGGTATAAAATTGTTTATTAGGTTTTTAGTTTGCGATGTTTATGGTAAATAATTTTCATTTTCATTGCCTCTGAATTCACATGAGGACAGAGTTGAGGATATCTATGGAAAAGTAACCACAAGAGGAATTGTTACATCATTTAAAAAATGTTGGGAAGTTTATTGTTTCCCATCGAAAAGTAGAAAATGCCAATGCAGATGAACGTATTGTAATTGTGATAGAAGTAATTCTAAGGGTGAAGTTTATTATAATTAGTGGAAGTAATACCAAGGGTGAAGTTTATTATAATTAGTGACCTGTGCTTCTTTTTATATGTAGATGTTTCTGGTTTTGAGAATAAATCGGTTGAACGACACCCAAAATTTAAAGGAAGTATTTGCATACCCAGAATATGCCCATCAAGGATTATATAGCTCAAATTTCCTTTAATGGTAGGCAATTATTCAATGCAAATTAACTTTTTAAGTGACTGAAATATTAAATAGTTTACAATATGGTATATCACTAAAAATATATTACTTTTAGGTACAATTAGGGCCCGATACATTTCAAAAAGTAGAATATTATTTTATATTAAATGAGGTATTGTACTAACAATCAATTTATATTAATAACGGAGATTAAAAAATAACAGAATAAATAGTTCTTTTTTTTATACTACAAAAATAAATTATAGAATACAACAGTATTTAAAAAAATAAATAAAAAGTGATGTTCCGACCGAGATTCGAACTCCGGTCTCTCGCTTCCTAGCCCGACTCCTTATGCACTGCTCCACAGTAACTTGCTTAGCGATAATTCAATGACGGTATATAAACAAAAAAAAAACAGGTTTATAACAACATCTTGACGATTTGAACTGGCGCGCGGAGCGTGCTGACCAATAGCGCCTGTTATCACCTGTGACGTAGCGACCAACCTGCGCAATATCATACCTTGTATTTTTTGTACCATGATGTGCAACGAAAGTTATTTTAATTTCCTTTATAGCTAGTAACTGTCACTAGAAACTTGCCATGACGAGATCAGCCCTCTTTGTTGCCATTTTATTGAAAAATTGCTCTTTATTTAAAATCTGAGCTAGATAGTATAGGAAACCCTAATATAGTTTAAAAAACCATTTGAATCTGCTTCGATTCATTTTAAAAAATACAGGGTGTTGTATTTGAAATAACGTAATAAGTTTTTATGTAAAATATAAATATTTAAAATAGACCAGAAATTTTTGATACCCCTGTATACATTAAACGAAGCAATCAAAGTTTTCAGTAAAGTTTATTTATCTGGCTTAAAAGTCAGCACAAGAATTAAATCTGAATTTTTTTTAATTGCTTCCATTTTTGAAAATTTTTGTATTCCTTTTCATAAGTTATTCGGGATTTAAATGGAAGTAGTTTGGATATGGCGTTTGTCGCCTCAGCCTGAATATCTGTTGGTAATTTACTTATTTCGTTTTGAGCCTTTTCTGGCTCCAATTCAATCAGCAATCGACACCAAAGAGAATTAAGAAATATTGACTCAAAACTGACAACTAAAGAGACAGCTTTATTTATTTGTCAAATTACATAGAAACCAACGCCAACCCAGTACAATATTTTTTCTACTCGTAATAAATTCCTTGAAATAATAATTTCTGAATATTTTTTAAAACTAAAAAAAATTGTTTTATACACGATAAAATTGCATTATTGTCTCCCGAAATTAATTACTCTTTTCGGTCTTGTATAAAAAATATCTATTAAATATCTAAAACCAAAGCTTGTAAACATATTTAACCCTTATAATAAATGCTTTATTTTGTGTCCAAGGATCCAAATTATGAAATAAAATACCGGGTGTTCTATAAGAAAAAATATGTAACTTTGGTCGTTTTGATCCCCCTTCTGCAAAACCAAAATCAAGGCCTCAAGACCAAGACCTGTCTCGCTCATTACTAATGGAACGCTATAAAACTAAATCAAGAAGCTAAACTACTTTTAAAAACGATCTGTTCGTACAGAACATTTTCAATATTTTTTTCCTTGGCTTTCAAGATAATTTTAGAAGAAGAAAAACTAATGACTAACCTTCCTCTCCCCTCCTCCTCTCCAAAAATAAAAACTGCACTTCACCTTCACACTTACACAACACTCACTATCTCTATCCCTTTCCCTCTCTACGCGCGCAAACTTATTTTCGTCCGCTACTCCCCGAAAATTTAAAAAAAAATCAGGAGCGCGTCGTCTCTCGGAACTACGTCGGCGATTTACGGCGATCTAAGCACGATCGCGTCCGATTTTCAGCGCGAAGAGCCGATGACGGTGTAATGTGTTCATCGGGCGGCCACGAGGCCAGTACTGGTGTACCGGAGCGGCGTCGGGACGATCAGCTGTTGGCAGTTATTCCCTCCCCGCTCTGCGTTCGTTTTCGAATTCCAGGCTCGACGCCGTTGGTTCATAGGAATTAGAAGACGTAGATTGCCTATGTAGGCTTGGTACACTCTCCGTCAGTGCTGCCACCTTCAGAAAATATCGTAAACAACTGGTATATACCAGTGGCGGCTAAACCATGAGGTCAAATGGTCAATGCCCCCTCAAAAAAATCAGGAGAAAATTAGAAAATCTTATTTAAATTATACTTTTTGTAAATCACTATTTTTCGTCCTAAAATATTCAAAACTATTCCCAATTTCTCCAATTTTCGCTTGAATACATTTTATTTTACACATTTTCTCTACTGGCGGTCAAAATTTCATTTTGTCCTTCGTTCCCGCTATGTTTTACACGTATTTAAACTGCAAGTTTCGCGGCTCGTGACGCCAACAAGGTAAGGTATACTAAGTATAGAAATAATAATGGGTTAAGGTGCGATAGATATAGTTTATATTGGCCATTGACCGCGACATTCATAAAAGGATTTGTAAGGTTTAACTTTATATATATGTCGTAGTCTCATAGTGTACTACGTCTTTTCATGAAGAGCCTAGTCACTTAATGAAAAAAACTAACCTAATAACATAACTAAACTGCTAACCTAACCGACGCTTCATGAAGTGACCTAGGATCTTCATGAAAAGACGGAATACACTATGTGACTACGATATACAGACCGGACCACTGTAGTAGTAACATAGGCAAAACCGGACGAATTAGCGTATACCCGTCCGCCGGAAAAAAAAAGCATGCAAAAAAATGCGATAAAATAAAAATAGGTAGATATGTGATAAGAATGTTTCAGAATTTGTATTTATTCGTATTTTAATAGCCAAAACGAATACATAGATTCTCGCGACAGTTCTCGTGTAAAATGTATTTTTTAAGTAAAATAATGGATGTTTACGAAGTTCGTGAGAAAATTCAAATTGTAAAATGGTATTTCCAAAATAGGTCTTATCGGGATATGCAAACAATTTTTCCACAAACTTTTGTAAACAGAATAGAATTTCGAAGACTAGAATTCGTGAGTTATTGGGAGAAAGATTCCACAATGTCTGGTTTGGTTAGGTTGCCCTGCCCACAATGCCCGTATTGTTCAAGAATATTGAACAATACTTTTCCCAACCGTTTAATTAGTGGATATGGGACTATTTTGTCGCCCGCTAGATCACCAGATCTTTCTCCCAATGATTTCTTTTTGTGGGGTTATGTAAAATCCAAAGTGTATGTGTGCGAACACAGTGCAAGCAGGTTTGCCGCTTACCGGTAGTCGGCGTCAATCTGGGTACCTATTCTTGACATCGTTCGCAATTTTGCGTATACGCATCACGTGTATTGTTATAAACAGGGTATCCCAGAAATAAGTGCAAGTATTTTAAAGGCTGGTAGATCTCGATAAAAGAAACATATTTTCTCTTTATCGTTTTTCAATAAGTCCAAAATAACGGAGTTATTTTACTTTGAAAATTTCAAAAAAATTATTTTTTGCCAAAATTTGAGAACCACTGATCTTTCTAGATTTTCTTTCTTGTAACTTTAATCTACTACCTATGTTGCCATATTATCAAGAAATTATTTTCTTTAAATAAAAACTAAAAAAATTCCAAAAAAATTTTCAAAAAATTCCGAATTTTCAAAAAAAAATATTTAGAAAAAAACCTCATTGGCGTGTTTCTGGGGTTGAACTATACTACCAGTTAAGTATAAAATACTTGCACTTATTTCTGGGACACCCTGTATATGGGTACATCGTAGCGCCGCGCCGCGCCACCTCGCTGTTATAACCTTGAAAAATTAAAGCGTGTTATCAAATCGGCTAGTTCACAGTGAAAGCAGGCAGATGGCAGGCAGGCACCGTCAACCAGCGTTCATCGGCGTTCTCGCTTTTACCGGAACGAAAATTTATTTATTTCTGCTTTTGCACGCGCCGACGGCACACAGAGGGTATTAAGAACTAAAAGTTGGCCAAAATTATGTTTTATGATTTTTTTGCTTTTTTGCTTGTAATATTAATTATTAATTAGAGGAGAGGTTGCTAATATGGAACCCCATTTTGTTTTTCCTACACAATATTTTTTCCTCTACTCTGAAACCCTTTCCACCGATCAAATAGGGCCATTCTGTGCAAAATCAAGCAATTGGATGAGGATGCTAGAACAAGAAAGTAATTTGTATATTATAGACGATATTTGAGCGAGGATGGGTGTTATAGGGTAAAGACTATTTCCTTTAAGAATCTATTTAAATCAATGTTTTTTTGGCAGTGGCAAATATTGGCAAGATTTTTGTACATATTCCAAAGCTGGAGACTTTAAGCATTGAACGGATACTAATTTCCATGCGGAATATTGCCGAATAGTCTTACACCTTATAAAAATGCCTCTGATTTTTTAAATATAAAACATTATAAAGAAATAGAATAGAAGAAAACGTTATTTGATAGTCAACTTACGACTTAAAAAAAGCTAATAAACGCGCTTACATTTAGTATTTATAGATTTGTATTCAGTTAAGATAAAAAATGAAAATAAAAATATTTCACTTTTGGCCAGGTTTATAGACCAAATACCCCTATGTGCGGCGCTGGCGCGGCGGGAGCGGCGTTTGAATATAGTTAGGTTAGGTTAGTTAATCAGGTAAATTTCCTCTTAATTAACTACTTCCGAACCCTGCTCGCATCTCCGAAAAAGCCATATAACAATACACGGCATATACGCAAAATTACGCATCACGTGTATTGTTATATGGCTTTTTCGGAGATGCGAGATGTGAGCGATATGTGGTCAAGAATAGGTCCCCAGAGACGGCGCTGGTTGCCGGAAAGCAGAAACCTGCCTCCACTATGTTCGTACCCTATGGTCATAATAAGGCTAATAATCTGGATGAGCTTCAAGTAAAAATACGAGAGGCTTTCCAAACTATTAGCCGTAATATGTTAGCCAATATCAGACGGGGTTTTTACGACCGCCTAAGCTTCTGTCTAGCAGAAGAAGGTGGTCTTTTTGAACACTTGTTATAATTTTAGAGTAGGTAATATTTTATTTTTTTTTTATTGATGTATTTTTTAATTTTGGAAATGAGTTTTGGGTTAAGAGAATTTATTTATTTTTAGTTTTGGCTTGTAAACACACTCAAATAATAAATATTTAGGTATTTTTATTTTAAATGTTCCCTTATATGAAGGTAAACACTTAAAATGAAAATAATAAATACTCGGGACTCCTCGCGTCGTATTCCTAGTCTGTCACGACCGACCCGTCCAAGCACAACTGCAACTGCGTACTGCCTGACCAGTCCACTAGCCGGCAGTGAATCTCGAGTGTACGAACTCAATCGGATAAACGTAAATTCGTCCGGCAACTTGCTATGTTACTAGTAGCCTGGTCTTCTCTGTATACACTTGGTAGTTTACTGACAGACGATATAAAAAGTGGCGGTTTTTGTCTTTGTTTAGAAACTCCCCAGTGTGTTATTATTATAATTTGTAATATTGTTTATTAGTTGAGAATCAATATAGTTGATTAAGAAATATCGAGTGCATTATTTCTATATAAATATAATACAGGATTTCACTCATATCGCTGGAAAAATTTCGCAGTTTGGGCAGTTTGGGTGTTTATAAAAACTGAAATTATAAAACAACCTAGGTTTTTGTATCGTTTATCGCGTATCGCGTATAATGTTTGGTTTAGTCAATTGAATGTTATTGCACCCCACAACGCCCTAATTACGCTCTCCTTTACGCGTTACAATTTTTTCGGTAATTTTATTAACATTTGAAATTGTCACAGCACAACGTGTTGTGTCGTACGGTACGTTGTCAAAATATTTTTTTATAAACAATGTTTTATCTACTAATTTTAATATCTATGGTTAACTACTGGCCGGGATAAATCGGGCTACAGAGAGAAAAAGAAACAGAGAGAAAGAGGTAGAGAGAGAGAGAGACGACATCCAGGGTCGCATTCTTGTGTTCTCGGTTGCTGGAGTAGCCAGACTGGAGACTGATACATTGATTTGGATGTTTTCGAGAGTGCATAACATCTTTTATTTACAACCACATAGAGTAATACCCCGATTTACGCTCGACTCACCGCTTTACGCTTACTTGATTTGCGCGCTTTCCATATTACGCGGAAAACGGATATATTGGCAATAGGGCATTCTACCAACCATCGCCAACCCGGCGTATATCTTTGTATGCTCCATAACAAAAAAGCCTCCATAACACCAACAAATCAAGGGTGTCATATCATGGATCACTGAGCGATCCCTTCCTAACAAACACGTTAGGCAGTGATGTGTCTTAGCGCCTCTCCTATCCAATATATTCATGGCAGCGCTCTCCATTATAGTGGACAGCAAACTGCAGGAGAGAGGTTTGGGCATTAGATACAGATACGACGGCGCGGCAGTCTGCTCAACATAAAAAGACTCAGGACAAAAACACGTCCAAAATTCATCACAGAACTTCAATACGCTGATGACTGTGCTCTAGTTGTAAATACGTTACAACATTTGCAAGAGATGTTGGACACATATACATGGGCATACGAGGCTTTGGGACTTAAGCTGAACATCGATAAAACTAAAATCATGTGCACTCCCCTGGAAGATCACAACAATGCTATAAAAATCGGAGAACTATTGGAATATGTAGCGGAATTCAATTACCTCGGCAGTTTGATTTCGGAAAAGGCCAATATCGACTCTGAAATTCAACAGAGGATTAGCAGCGCCTCAAGAGCATTCTGGAAATTAAAAGACAGGGTTTTCTACAATCATGACTTGAGCACAAAAACGAAACTTGCGGTGTACCGAGTGATAATAATTCCCACCATGTTATATGGAAGCGAAACCAGGGTGCCGTACCGCCGACACATGAACGCATTAAAGAAGTTGCAACAGAGACATATTAGACAACTCTTAAGAATAAAATGGTTACATCATGTATCAAACGTATCGGTCCTTGAAACTGCGAGAGTATTGTCATTGAGTTATTGTAAGTCATGATTACAAAGTCCCGCTTAAGATGGGTTGGTCACGTATGCAGAATGCAAGAAAACCGCATACCAAAATCTCTGCTTTACGGTGAGCTTGTAGATGGTAAAATGAGGCCGGGTGGTCAACTTAAAAGGTACAAGAATATTTTCTACGAAAACTTAAAAAGTATTAACAAGCAGAATGAGTGGGAAGGGGCAGCTCACAATAGAACGGAATATAGAAGAATTGTAAAGTCAGTTAAGAGCGACAACCAAAAAGTAAAGAGGCAACAAAGCAATGAGATTTTTGAATGTCTGGAGTGCGGTAGACATATAACATCACGTATCGGGCTTTTCAGTCACAGAAAAGCTCATGAAAGAAACCGCCTTTTGTGACCCATCTTCTGATGCGTGTCAAATACTCGGCAGCAGTAGTAGTAGTATCTTTGTGTATTCTGTTTACATAAGAACCAAATTAGTTTTATAGTTTTGTTTAAGAGTAGTTTAATATAGAATATTTCACTCATGTACAAAGAATCCCATATCTGGGCGTAAATTATTTTTAATAGGTATTCTAAAAATGTCTCGATTTGGAAACGATTTTAAAGAAAAAGTTGCTGAAAGTAAGCCGAAAAACACTATAATGAATCACCAGTATGTATGGAAACAGTTTATGGACTTTATAAAAGATAGAAACTACATTTTGGATGCGAATATCTCAATCTCGGCACTGGCCAATATTTTGACCGATTGGGCATTTAATATGAAAAGGAAAAACGGCCAAGACTATAAGGATTTTACGGTAAAAACTATTTGGAATGTAACAGCTAAGCTATTAATTGAAAAATACCAAAAAGAATATAATATTAAATTTAATCCTTTTACTGACACCGAATTTAAAATATCCCGGGAGGCAAAAAGTGCCAAAAGGAAGGAATTGCAGATGGACCCTCTAAAAAGAAAAGAAAGCTCTAAGGTACCCAAATACGAAAAATACAAATTGATGGTAAGAAATTGTAATGAAGAACGTCCCGATGGTTTGCAAAAAAAAAATTGTATCATCCTACGAATTGGCATGGCGAGGAGGAGAGGGAGGAAAATGTTTTGTTTCTTATTTTAAAGATGATATTGATAATATAGGACAACCCACCGGTCGCATTGAATACAACCCGATATTCCATAAAACCACTCAAGGAGGAGATAAACCTTGTGCTCCGTCAAAATGGCTGGTCATAAATAGACGTCAACCGGATATATATCCAGTAAGGCTATTCAACAAATTAGGCAAAGAAAATAAAGTCCTCCTACTCTGGGTGCCTGCTCACCAAGGGATAGAAGGCAATGAAAAAGCAAATGATCTAGCTAGGAAAGGAGCGAACACTCCACTAACTGGACCAGAACCGTTCTGTTTTCCAAACGGGAACCAACTGAAAGCGGAACTGAAGAATCTGGGTGTCTATCGAAGCGAAAAAATCAGATTTGGCTACGGAGAAAGTAAAAATTACTAATCATTCGCTACGAGCAACAGTTGTGTCGACATTAGCAAAGAAGGGGGTTGAGGAGAACACAATGGTCAAAATAACTGGGCACGCACACCCGAAGTCAATTAAACCTTGCCCTCAACTCGATGATGAACATCATGCAAATTTGGTAGAAAAAATGGGAGACAACTCCTACAAGTTCTAATAATAATACTAATGTTTTTGTACCTACTATAGGTTCTTTTAATTTCAATTCAAAAATTCAGCATCTTCAAGTACCGCAACGGAATTTAAACATAATAATTTTTATAATTGTGTTTTTCACTGCAATTCTTCATGTAATTTTTAATTTCTAATATTATGAGTTCTGTTTCATTTTATTGCTTCATTTTTAAATAGATTTTATTTCGGTATAGATAGGATAGATTTTTTTCTATCTATCTATCTATCTATCTATCTATTGTGGAAATTAGGGCATGTGAAGATTACAGGTACCTGGGATCGATATTTACAGAAGATGGAACGGACGATAGAGAAATAAACAACATAGTAATACAGGCACGAAGAGTTATCAGATGCATAAATGGCATTCTATGAAGCACTGAAATTACAAAAAACAGGAAATATAATATATACGAGACACTAGTTAAAAGCATATTACTCTATGGATGTGAAACATGGCGACTGACTGAAAGGAATAAAAAGAAATTAGAGACAACAGAAAAATGGACGGAGCAATGAGAATTTCACGGAGAGATAAGATCAGAAATGAAGACATTAGGCAACAGATGGGAATAGAGGGAACAATAGTAAATGATATAGAACAAAAACGATTAATATGGTACGGCCACGTTCAGAGAATGCACAATGAAAGAATTCCAAAACAAGTCATTCATTGGATACCACCTGGTAAACGAAAGAGAAGACGTCCCAAGAAAACATGGATGGAAGGAATAAATAGGTCGATGAGCGAGGAAAATCTGACCGAATATCAATGGGAAAATCGCACAGGGTGGAAGTTAGGCATCGGACAACGTCGTAGGACGTTCTGACCCGAATTTATATATTTATAGATAGGATAGATTAGAGTCGGTTTTTCCCATCACTAATATAGAGAAAGATAATAAAAAGGACTTAGGAAATCTAATCAGAAAGTATGCATGTGGTTTAATATAAATAAAAGAACAACTGAATATTTTTACTTCCCTATGAAAAGAACTAATTCAGGAACATGTATATTAGTACTTCCACACGCCAAACACTTTCTAATGATTTTTACGAGTATTTAGAAAGTCCAACGAAAAAAGAAATAGAAATATAATGGCACAAACTTAAAATTAATTTCTCACTGAGGCCAATCAAATTAGAGGGTTCACTTGGAAAAAAGTGTTGGCATAAAAGATAAGTATCCTAGTTTTTCACGGCTGCTCGACCGCCGCTCGACTCAGGAGGACCAAATAGATGGTAATTCTTTGACTTCTTTCAGATTTTTTTACTTATAATTCCGAAACGTTGCGTTCTAGAAAATATTTCACTATTACAAAAATTGAAGACCATTAAATTCTGCATATAAAGAGTATCAATTCGTTCAATAAGAATACCCTACAGAATAGTTCAGAATAATAATACACTACACTTTCTGTTGTTATGATTTCCTTCCATTACCTACCCTTCCCCTAAACAACCCCCTGGTAACTCGTGCTTCCCCTAAAAAACATCAAGAGCAAAAATGCTCGAGATTATACAACCAAAAATACATGTCTGTAAAAATTCTTGATATTTCAAAAAATAATTATTAATCTTTAATAATCACTTAATTTGCACTTAATTATCGATATAAAGTAATCTAGCAAATTTATTTGTTTTGTTGACTACGTCACTTTATATTATATTCCTCAAAGTATTCCTCATATTATTTTATTTTGTTTTAAAATTTGGTGAATTTCATATATAAAGAAAATCATTGTGTTTTGTGGTTATCTCTGATCTCTGGTCCATCTCTAGTCCACAGCTGGTTCACAGAACAGCTCTGGTCTATGTCACTGATTTGTAGAACCAAGTTGTTTACAATTTTAATTCACAATTTTTTAAATAAAAGTGTTTATTTTTGCCAATTTGTCCATTCATTTTCAAGAAAAATATAAGAGGGTTAATAAAAATGTAAGTCAAGGAATTCTGAAAGTATTATTAACTTTAAATACTACTTTTACTTACAGCTATTAAATTACCAGCTGTTGTTGAATATAGTTTGCAAAATTTGTCTCAGGAGGAACATCAAAGTGCCAATTAATAGAACCTGTGAAATATATAGAGTTGGTTAATTTTTCTTTAGGTTAAACATTTCTCGGTATACCCATTTCTCTATTTCACAATAATCAGTAACTCAATAACATGAAGGTAATTTATTTTTGATCTATCTGTATTACAATTACTACTAATTAATTATTATTTTTTACCATTTTTTTAAGGAATTCAGTGAAGAAGCAGAATTGCCCATTCAGGATATTATTCGTACGTGCCAATGCAAAACCCACAACAAGTACTGTTTGGACTATGATGACAATCATCTCAATGTTGAGTGTGCTCTATTCAAAAATATTAAGAAATCATTTGGGCAAGATTGCACAATGAAATGTCAATCTATACAACATGGGGATCATATAACAGCTGCCATTACTTCTAGGGAAGTGTCTGATGTTGAGTTGTGTTCTTATATCACTTACGTGTGTAAAAGATGTGGCACAGTGCGGGATTCAGTGGGACGGACAGCTTTACACGTTGCCGCTTCTTGCGGTCGCACGGAGTTAGTTCGATGGTTAATAGAGCAGGGTAAAGCTGATATAAACGCAAGGGATAAAGAGTCCGGCTTTACAGCACTGCATCGAAGTATATTTTATGGTAAAATTGCTACAGCTGTTCAGTTGATGAAATTAGGTATAAAATAATTTATTATAGTTCGTATTAAATAAACTTTTAGTCAAGTGATTAAGCTTGACCTGTACAGCGTTGCCCGCTTTTAATCAAAATATTTTAAGAAACAAAAATAAATTAATTATAAATATACAGGGTTGTTCACCACGTACGACATGGAGTATTGTAGCTAAACGATTAGATTTTTACAAATTGTAAGTTTGGGGTTTGTTGAAGGACTTTTAGAGCTACAATTTAAGAATATTTTTACAAGATACAGAGTGTCTCAAATGACTAAAAAATATTATAGTCGTATTTTTTTAAATGAAAAACCATGGAGATTATTCTATTTTTAGATTCTACGATTAAAATAAAGCTTAAAAATTACTAATATAAAATAAAGAAAATAGTACCTTATACAGAGTGTCTAAAAATTTATATTAAATAATTACTAGCTTTAAACGGCAATAACTTGTTTAAGTTAAATGGAACACCCTGTATATTTTACGTGAATCAGAGGCACAATTTAATTGTCTATCAAATTGTATTATACCATTTTTTACCTATCTCTTCAAGTTTTCGTAAAAAATGCATTTTATTATAATTTAAACCTCATTTATCACTATACCCATGGAATATTGACATTTTAGATTATTTTTAAAGATCTAACAAATTTTCAAAGGTTACAGATACTAATATTGTCGATAGAGTTCGCTTATTTCATTAAAAAATAAAAAAACATTTAAAACTTTTTTGTTAAAGAGGACCAATTAATATGATCCCAGTATTCAAACTACATTAATTTACTGTTTATGTTGATTAATAGTAAGTGCTCCAAATACTAAAAAAACTGAATTTTGTATGTGTATTACACAGTGTGGTAAAAAAAGTAACACCTTATAAATTTTATTTCATTTTTTGACGAATGCTTATTTATAACAACAGAGACCTTCATTTTCATAACTTATTATTATATTGATTTCTGCCTCAAATCGACATTTATTTAGAATAATTTATTAATTAAAACAATTAAGTATGTAATTAACTAATTTTTGGGTGGTATATTTAATTGATATACTCTTTTACAAAGATTTAAATAGTTTTCTTTTTGTAAAAAAATCTAAAATGTCAATATTCCATGGGTATAGTGATAAATGAGGTCTAAATTATAAGAAAATGCATTTTCTACGAACACTTGAAGAGATAGGTAGAAAATGGTATAATACAATTTGATAGACAATTAAATTGTGCCTCTGATTTACGTAAAATATACAGGGTGTTCCATTTAAATTAAAGAGGTTATTGCCGTTTAAAGCTAGTAATTATTTAATATAAATTTTTAGACAATTTGTATAAGGTAGAATAATTTTTATTAATTTAAATCAAACTTACTCACAATACAATACTAAAGTAAAATTAAAAAGCTAAATTAAAAAATAAATAAATGTGGCAACCTGACATTCTTTACAGCAGAGCTGCCACCTGAATCCCCAGCGGGAATTTTAAATTCTAGTTAGTCAGCCCGGCGCCAAATACGTCCATGGTTGGCAACAACGAATTTAAAAATTGCGCTCTCGATTACGTAACTAAAAGTTTAATTAATATCAAATATATATTGGCTAATTTTATTATTTGGTTAATTTGTTTTTTTCTATAGGAGCAAATCTAAACCAAAAAGACTACGAGGGTTTAACATTCTTAGATCAAGCTTTACTTCATCAAGCGGATATTCCTTTATCAACATCAGGCCGATACTATTACAGTTCGGGTAAAACCACGATCAAATTAGGTATAAATTTTAGTATCAGCTAAATTTATTGGGTATTTGTTTTTTAGGGTTCCGTACCCAAAGGGTAAAAACGGGAACCCTATTACCACAGAATATCTAGCTACGCAACAGAAAAATACTCGAAATGAAAGAGCTAAAATTGCACAAATAGAATACTAGATGGCGCGACAATATCATAATCAGAATACAATTAGAAATTTTGAACTTTCGGTTTTGGATCGACGGCTCGTCGACGGCCTTATAGCTCGGCTAAATATGCACAGTTGCCAGATTCAAAAAGACTTGAATTGGCATCCCATTCTTTTTATTGTGTATAATGCAGTATGTGTTTCTATCGTCTTTTCTTGTCAGATACACTTATATTAATTATTCCTTTGGCTATTAAAATAGTTTTAAGTATATTATTACAAAACATATACATTTTTAATATACACTACCTTATAATGTTAACTAAGAAAATACCTTTAATTATCTTTAAAATTAATAATATACAGGGCGATTGATAGTGATATTTATTAATGCTGGAACGTTAGTAATAAAATATAAGTTTAATAATAATGGAAATAATTTATTAAAATGCAGTACAAAAAATGTTAACTGACTAATAAATACTATAATAACAAATTTCTTCCGTTTGCCACGTTATTTATATAGACCTAGGTAGATTTTAAAAAGTGACACAGGTACAATAATTATATATTAGTTCGGCATAAAAGTTGCTGTCACGACAAATAAATTAAAATTCGTAAAATGAATTAAAATTATTAATTAAACAAATCTTTATAAAGAAACGCAAGTATTCCAAATTTGGGCCGTAACCGAAGATACGTAGTATACCAAGTTTAAGCCCAATCGAACGCCAGGAAATGGTATCGTAATATGGTACTATATTAAGGTACCACTTTATATGCATCATAGTACCATCATATGACAATGTCACCGAAAATACGTAGTATCCCAAGTTTAAGCCCAATCGAACGCCATGTACGTAATATAGTACTATATTATGGTACCAGTTGATATGCTTCATGGTACCATAATAATGCAATGTCATCAAAAATACGCAAGTATATATCAAATATGAGCTCAATTGAACGCCAGGAAATGGTATTGAAATATGGTACTATATTAAGGTACCACTTTATATGCATCATAGTACCATCATATTACAATGTAACCGTAGTAACCGTGTATACGTAGTATACCAAGTTTAAGCCCAATCGAACGCCAGGAAATGGTATCGCAATATGGTACCTCTTATTATGCTCCATGGTACCATAATATTACAATATCACCGAAGATAAGTACTATCCCAAATTTAAGCCCAATCGAACGCCATGTACATAATATGGTACTATATTATAGTACCAGTTGATATGCTTCATGGTGCCATAATAATGCAATATTATCAAAAATACGCAAGTATATATCAAATATGAGCTCAATCGAACGTCAGGAAATGGTATTGAAATATGGTACTATTTTAAGGTACCACTTTATATGCATCATAGTATCATCATATTACAATGTTACCGAAAATACGTAGTATACCAAGTTTAAGCCCTATTGCTGCCATGTACCTAATATTGCTATGTCATCAAATATGGTACTATAGAAGGTACCACTTTATATGCTCATGGTATATCATGGTACCATGATATTACAATGTCACTGAAGATATAGTATATCAAGTTTAAGCCCAATCGAAAGCCATGTATCGTAATATGGTACTATATTATGGTATCACTTGATATGCTCATGGTACCATAATATTGTAATGTCATGAAATATAAGTATATATCAAATACCGTATGATACCGAAAAAAACGGCGTCCAGTTGGCTGGAAAAGGACGATCGATGACATTTCCCATATAAATTTACATATAAAATGACAGCGATATTCGTAGCCATCGCTAACGCCGTTTTTTCCCGATTATACGATATGAACTTGGTATGAACACAATCGAACGTCAGGAAGTGGTATCATAATAGTAGAACAACACTTATTATATTGTCGCCGAATTACAATGAAAATTCAGGATTCAATTATACAATCAAACGTCAGGAAGTGATTGTAATTTAGCTAATAAGATTTAATTCCAACTAACATGGCAAATTGAAAAAAACAGCTCTGATCTATTTTAATATGTTTAAATGATGTAGCAAATTTGAAGGTAGGCTTTATCAGGAAGTATTACGATATGAATTACACAATGGCAACACTGCACAAAATTCTTTTAAATTTTGTTTGTAGAAAACTGTTTTCTTTTACATTTATTGCCCTCTATTATGTAGTAGCGAAACTACCGCATCAAAATATCTGAGTTGGAGACAGGCTTTAAAAGACTGTCTCCTTTTGCTACCTACAATTTTATACATGTAACGAGGCTTCTGTTGCGTAGCTAGATATTCTGTGCTATTACTAAGACTTCGCTGTCCGTCCGTCTGTCACAAAGGTCTATCTTATGAACCGCTATAGCTAGACAGTTGAAATTTTTACAGATAATGTATCTATGTTGCCGCTATAAGAACAAATATTAAAAACAGAATTATATAAATGTTTATAAATAAAAATGTACTTTTACTAAACATTATCTTTTAATTAGTGATGTAAAAATTCTAAGTAATCGTTACAAAGTAACAGTTACTTTACGAGGACTCGAAGTAACGCTTACTATTTGAATTTAGGACTCGTTACTCGTTACTAAGCTAATTCGTTACTTTTGCGCCGGCAGTAATCGCAATCCCTGGAAATGCACGAACTGAGGACTCGAAACTCGATACTAAAATATTCGTTACTTCGACGTAGGTCTAGTTGTTATCAATATATTTATGTTTAAAATGTTGACTTGACGCCGGCCGGTGTTTTGGATGGTAAATGTGTGATATTTTTATTATATTTACCAATCTCAAGGTGTGGGTTCGATTCCCACACCCGGCATTTCATCAGCCGACTATTTTTATTAAAATAAAAATAGTTTGGGTACCTAGGTCGACTCAGCCTTAAATGAGTACTTGGGATTCACAATCCTGAGGTAATAATAGGCGGTTGAAGCGTAGTGCTAGCCACATTACCTTCCTTGTATACCGAACGGCTCTAGTATGGCAAGCTGTACCTTGCTACTCCCAAGGCGTTAAACGCTATATACGGGAGCTATTATTCTTACACTGTAAGAAAATCTACAAAATAAAAATAGTAATTTTTAGTAAACACTGCTGCGTTAATCCAAAGGATTTTTTTGAAGAGATGAATCCGCCACAGAGGAATATACATTTTTTAATATTTTTACATTTTAACAAAAATATATACATTTTTTTAATTTTTACTCTTTAATGTTTGCCTATTTATTAATGTAATACAAAGAGAGAGAGAGAGAGAGAGAGAGAAAATATAAAAAAATACTTTATATTTATTATACACATATTTTCTTTGATTTGTTTTCTTTTATTTTTAATTTTATTAATAGCACATAGTTTTATTTAACATATCATTATAAAAATATTATACATATTATTAAAAACATATTATTCATTACTTGCATACCGAGTATTGAAATTATTCTATTAAGCCCTTATACTAGAAGAAAGTAGAAACCCCTTATAGGTTAAACCGAGCATGCAACGAAGATCGCCGCGCACAATAAGTAACGAAGTTCCACGTCAAGAAACCTGTACACAAAACAACGATTATAAAGTAACGATACTAAGTACCAAAGTAACGAGTAACTAGTCCAAAGTAACGAGTCCTATTACCAAAAGTAACTAGTAGTTACGAGTCCATAAAAGTAACGAAAGTTTACATCACTATTTTTAATTAAGAATTTTACATAGAATCTTTCAAGACCTCGGTGGCCGCGTGGTTTAAAGCGTTAGGACTTTACGCTGCTATGACGTTGGAGCCGTAGTAATAAGGCAGGTTCGAATCCTAGTCAAGGCGAACTTTTTTTAATCGTTTTTTTTTTTAATTTTTACATATTTATTTTTACTTTTTACATATTTATTATTTATTAATACAATTTTTAGTAAGTTGTTTCTTCATTTTTTTTAAGTAACTTATACAGGCATTCAAAATTTCAGCTAAATCGGAAAAAAAGTTTATAATAATATAGTGGTGTAATGTTGTATACAGGGTGGTCCGAACTATATTCCGGAAACTTCGGCAGCATATTCTGCAGATAAAAATATGTAAAAAAGTTCGTATAAATGTATGTCCTAAAATACTTAGTTTCGCAGATACAGGGTGTAGAAGTATAGATATTTTGATCAAAATTGGTGTCTGGGAGTTTTTTGACATGAAAAATTTGATTTTGATGTCAATATGACTCCTACTAGTAGAGGGCGCGACCTACATATTTTTTAACTGGTTTGAAGAGTAATAACTTTTCGTCCGTACTGTATAAAACTACTGAGTAAAAAAATATACATTTACGACGTTTTTTACGTGAAAAAGATCTCTTGGTAAAAATCGCTACGAGTAATGGTTTTCGAGAAATTTGGAATCGAAATTATCAATACCTGTCATCATTGACATAAATTAAACATGTTGACTAAATAGGTATTAGGCTGAAATCAGAAATTTGAAATGTTTTTGTGCCAAAAATTCAACAGAAACTGTTTTATTATCATTTTTTGCAGAAAAATTTATGATTAATTTAAAAAAATAAAAATGTCCCAAATTTATTATTTCAGTGAAATAACTATCTACTCAACGGGTTTATTTTTTGTCAATAATCTAAATATCTTAGGAACGGTTGCTCGTAGCGATTTTTACAAAGAGATATTTTTTACGTAAAAAGTCACAGAGATGTACAGGGTAGTCGAAATTGGTCTGTTTTAACAGAGAAAACCTATTTCCTGACTAGATAGAGCAAAACCGACATAGATGTCATGGGTTCGATTTCTGAGACACGTTTAATGACATAAACCGCCTGTTGATATTTTTACTGCCAACTGAGATACATAACTTTTTTATTTCGCGGAATAATAAAATTCTGGAAAAACGTTCTTAAGGCACCTTTTTAAGAATAATTCAGTGGCGTAGTCAGTTTTTTTTTCTATGCTTGTTCTTTTTGTTAGAAATAATAAAAAATATAATTTTTTTGAACGAAAATCATACTTGGCTATGAACTTAAAAAAATGCTGGCGTTTAATCCTTTCCAACGATATAAAGTTATGGGTATTTATTTCTAGAATGAGAGAAATATTAGGGTTTTTTATCTTTATATCGAAGCGGGCCTTGATTTTGTGTTGACCTATTTGCGTAATTATTTTTTTACAATTTTATTGTATATTATTATTTATCTACATAATTAAAGACTTTTGAAAAGGTAAATTAATATTCTATATTAGTATTAGTAATTACAATTAAAATCGATACAATAAACAAAACTAAAAAAACGTATTTTTTGAGTGACGAATATAGTTTTCTAAAAAAATCATTAAAGATGTTCAAACTGAGCACCTGCTTGTTAAATACACAATAAACATCTTTTACGCACAGAGTTACATCGATTTATTAGGCGAACTGCTATAATAAGTCGAAAAGCTTGCCTAGTAGCCTTCTGTAATTCTTCTCTGGTCCCAATTCTGCAATGGTTTTTATATATTAGGTCTTCTAATTTCCTCCATAAAAAAGTCAAAAGAAGTTAAATCATAGGACCTAGCAGGCTAAGATATGGGGCCCCTTGTTCCAATCCATTTCTCTTTAAATTCTCCATTTAATAGTTCTGTTGTAACCATGGCGTTTTAATTGTAATTGGTAATACTAATATAGAATGTTGATTTATCTTTTCAAAAGTCTTTAATTATGCAGATAAATAATACTATAGAATATTAAATTGCGATAAAAAATAATTAGGTAACTAGATCAACACAAAATCAAGGCCCGCTTCGATATAAAGATAAAAAAACCTAATATTTCTCTCATTCTTAGAAATAAATACCCATAACTTTATATCGTTGGAAAGTATTAAACGCCAGCATTTTTTTAAGATCATAGCCAACTATGACAAAAAGAGCAACTCCAGAGAAAAACTGACTACGCCACTGGATTGTACTTAAAAAAGTGCCTTAAGAACGTTTTTACAGAATTTTATTATTTCGCGAAATACAAAAATTATGGGCAATTTTCCAAATGGTAAAAAATTCAAAAAGATCCCGTATCTCGGTTGGCAGTGGAAATATCAACAGGCGATTTATGCCATTAAACGTATCTCAGAAATCGAGTCCATGAGATCTATGTCGGTTTTGCTCTCTCTTGTCAGGAAATAGGTTCTCTCTGTTAAAACAGACCAATTTCGACCACCCTGTATATTTTTTTGCTCGGTAGTTTTATACAGGTGTGGACAAAGTTATTACGCCTCAAAACAGGTAAAACACATGTAGGTGGCGCCCCCTACTAGTAGGAGTCATATTGACACCAAAATCAAATTTCTCATGTCAACAAACTCCCAGACACCAATTTTCATCCAAATATTGACGTCATTTCAGAAATTATTTAGAAAAAATCGAAATAAAAATGAAACTTCTACACTCTATATCTCTGAAAGTAAACATTTTAGGACATATATTTATACAAACTTTTTTACTTATTTTTATCTGCAGAATATGCTGCCAAAGTTTCCGGAATACAGTTTGGACCACCCTGTAGATAATGAATGGTACGGAACCCTTCGTGCACGAGTCCGACTCGCATTTGACCAATTTTGTTTTTATATTAGCAAATCTAAAGCGAAAAGACTGGGGTCTAATATTCTCAGATAAAATTTTACTTCATCAAGCGGTGCCTTCCTCGAGAACAGGCCTACTGCACACTTTGGGTAAAAGCACGAGCGAATTAGGTATACATTTTAGTATCAGCTAAATTTATAGGGTAATATTTTTTTTATAGGAGCAAATCTAAACCAAAAAGGCTACGAGGATCGAATATTCTTAGATCAAGCTAATCAAGCGCTTATGCCATTATCAACATCCGGCGAACTGTTTACTTGGGGTGATAATACCAACAATTCGTTAGGCACACAACATCCTAGAAGCACGCCTGAAGTTATGAGTATATTTCATAAGACCTATCCCAAAGAAAGTGTGCAAGATTTTTTTATTGATCAGTATCATAGTGTAATATTGTCACAATCAGGTAAAAACTCAGAAAAATAATATAAATTGACCGGGGTTGAGTAACGACACGTAGAAAATTAATTTTCTACATATTACAGGGTTACATTTGAGGGTTGGAACCTTTGGTGTTACACAGCTAAATAAAACACTAAATCACCACAATACACCAAAACACTTTTACTTTTACACTGGACGCGCGTTTCGCTAACCATGTTAGCATCATCAGCAGATGATTATAAACTAAACTACAATCTACAATTTGAGCGTTTATATACTCGTTCAGTGGGCACGGAGTGGCGTGGCAAGATCTAGCCAACCGAGTCAGCGCCCACCGAGAGCATAACAATTAGATTTCCGGCACTAGAGTAGTAGGAACAAAGAACTTGGAAAGGAATTGGACCGTTGTCTCTGTTCATACTATCTTTACATTTATTAATTCTGATGCTTTCATATGCATCTAATCGCCTGTAATTTGAGACTTGTTTAATTAATTTTAAATTATTAAGATCTATACAATGTTCTTTATCAACAATATGTTCAGCAACGCAAGATTTATCCGGTCTACCATATCTTATCTGAGCTAAATGTTCTTTAAATCTAGTTAATATTGATCTTTTAGTTTGCCCAACATATTTCTGATTACAATCTTTACAAGAATTTTTATAAATACCCGATCTTTCCAGTGGAGGTGTTTTATCCTTTGGATTACCTAATAATTGTTGTAATTTATTATTAGCACTATACACAAGTTTATAATTAACATTCTTAAAAATTCCTTTTAGACCACGGGATAACTCTCTATCAAACGGTATTGAAAAATATTTTGACGTATCTTTCTCCACTTGAAAAGTCGAATTTTCAGAAATCATTAACCTATACCTACGTTTTCTAATTATTTTATCAACTAGTCAAGGAGAATGTCCATTACACTCAGCTACATTCCTAATGTAATCTCTTTCTATTTCATATCTTTCGTTGGTAAATTGTTGGCCATATCATATTGTGACACTTTGATATGGCCAGATATATTATTTCGATAACGTTATCGATCATCATTTCCAAGCTTATTTTGCGCTGTTTTTTTTTCGATCATACGGTATATATTAATATGTTGCGGTTAAGGTTCGATATCCGGTTAATGTCGACAGTTAATCTCGAGAATAACACACAACAAAACCACCAAAAACATAACCTAACCCAAACATTAACATGTTAATGCCGACATTAATCGGACATCGGACTTTAACCGTAACAAATATACAGGGTGGTCCGAACTGTATTCCGGAAACTTCAGCAGCATATTCTGCAGATAAAAATAAGTAAAAAAGTTTGTATAAATGTATGTCCTAAGATGCTTAGTTTCAGAGATACAGGGTGGAGAAGTTTTATTTTTATTTCGATTTTTTACAAATAGTTTCTGAAGTAACGTCAATATTTGGATGAAAATTGGTGTCCGGGAGTTTTTTGACATGAGAAATTTGATTTTGCTGTCAATATGACTCCTATTTGTAGGAGGCACCACCTACATGTGTTTTAACTGTTTTGAAGAGTAATAACTTTTTGTCCGTACCTGTATAAAATTACTGAGTGAAAAAATATACATTTCCGTGATTTTCTACGTAAAAAATGTCCCTTGGTAAAAATCGCTACGAGCAACCGTTCTCAAGATATTTACAATGGAAATAGTCAATACATGTTACTATTGACTGAAAAATAAACATATTTAGTAGATAGTTATTTGACAGAAATGAGAAATTTGGGAACATTTTTATTTTTTTAAACAAATCATAAATTTTTCTTCGAAAAAATGATGATAAAATAGTTTCTGTTGAACTTTTGGCACAAAAACATTTCAAATTTATGATTTTAGTCTAATAACTAATTAGTTAACATGTTTAATTTATGTCAATGATGATAGGTATTGGTAATTTCGATTCCAAATATCTCGAGAACCATTACTCGTAGCGATTTTTACCAAGAGACCTTTTTTACGTGAAAAACGTCGCAAATGTATATTTTTTAACTAGCTCATTCATCACATTTGTTTAACGCTCTGCCTGAAATAAAAATGAAACTTCTACACCCTGCATCTCCGAAACTAAGCATTTTTTGACATACATTTATATGAACTTTTTTACTTACTTTTATCTGCAGAACATGTTGCCGAAGTTTCCGGAATACAGTTCGGACCACCCTGTATAACTCACATGAACTATTATATACCACTAAAGAGCGAAAATACGAGTTATATTTTTATAAATACACTTTTTAAACTCTTAGGGCAGGCAGTATTATAATATAGGAAATTCAAATAATTCGTTCTCTGACAAATGGAAATAAATTGTCTGACTGTTGACACTTAATGTCAAAGGCAGCTAGATAAAATCAAGAAAAATATACGTTTTCAAACTTAATCTTAAATAACTTAAAAAATATTTATTTTAGGTATAGGAACATGTATAGTCAAAAAGTAACGAATTGAAAAGCCTTTTCACTAGTGAAATAAAAAAGTGGGTTTCCATTTGAAAAAAATTATTTATGATCATTTTTTAATCGCTCAATTCCATGACAGCTACCGCCATTATTATATGGCATTTGAACAATTTTATTTTTGAAATAGAGATTGAGAATTTTGAGAAATAGATAGCTAATAATCAAGAAAAAATATACGTTTTCAAACTTAATCTTAAATAACTTAAAAACGATTTATTTAGGTATGGGAACATGTATACTTAATAAGTAACGAATTGAAAAACCTTTTCACTAGTGAAATAAAAAAGTTGAGTTCCATTTGAAAAAAATGATTTATGATAATTTTTTAATCGCTCAATTCCATGACAGCTACCGCCTTATTATATGACATTTGAACAATTTCATTTTTGAAATAGAGATTGAGAATTTTGAGAAATAGATAGCTAATAATCAAGAAAAATATACGTTTTCAAACTTAATCTTAAATAACTTAAAAACGATTTATTTAGGTATAGGAACATGTATAGTTAATAAATAACGAATTGAAAAACCTTTTCACTAGTGAAACAAAAAAGTTGGGTTCCATTTGAAAAAAAAATGATTTATGATAATTTTTTAATCGCTCAATTCCATGACAGCTACCGCCATTATTATATGACATTTGAACAATTTCATTTTTGAAATAGAGATTGAGAATTTTGAGAAATAGATAGCTAATAATCAAGAAAAATATACGTTTTCAAACTTAATCTTAAATAACTTAAAAACGATTTATTTAGGTATAGGAACATGTATAGTTAATAAGTAACGAATTGAAAAACCTTTTCACTAGTGAAATAAAAAAGTTGGGTTCCATTTGAAAAAAATGATTTATGATAATTTTTTAATCGCTCAATTCCATGACAGCTACCGCCATTATTATATGACATTTGAACAATTTCATTTTTGAAATAGAGATTGAGAATTTTGAGAAATAGATAGCTAATAATCAAGAAAAATATACGTTTTCAAACTTAATCTTAAATAACTTAAAAACGATTTATTTAGGTATAGGAACATGTATAGTTAATAAGTAACGAATTGAAAAACCTTTTCACTAGTGAAATAAAAAAGTTGGGTTCCATTTGAAAAAAATGATTTATGATAATTTTTTAATCGCCCAATTCCATGACAGCTACCGCCATTATTATATGACATTTGAACGATTTCATTTTTGAAATAGATAGCTACATGTCTTCTCTTTATGTCACAGTACATGTGGTTAATCATTAAGTTTGACTTTTAGGCTATGCAAATTTTTTTGAAAGGCAGTTTTTTCTTCCAAAAATTATTTGTTTGATATCAAAGAACTCGGTCTCCTGAATATAATGATGTGCCACACTTTATATTTTTTTTTGTTTTGTATACCTTAACAGCAACAAAACTATTTAATTATTATTTAAAATAATAAGTCCGACTCTGGTTTCTTAAATTATTTAATCTGATTATATTCATCGCAACAATAATGATCGAGCCAATTGGAAGAATCAAAAAATAATTAATATCCAGTTTAAAGATATTTGTTTTTAACTTTTTTTATTGTGAATTGGAAATCTCAGTGTGCGATCTACTAATATGTATAATATTAATCGTAGTTATTATAAATAAATCAACTTCTACAAACTAATTTCTAATGTTCTACATGTTTGAAAGGGTTACCACCCTATTGCACAAGTTTATGTTTCGCTCAATTTTATTTATAGCTCTTTGAACTTTCTTCTTATACTTGCTGTATGTACTCTTTATTGTAAATTGCATACAGCAAGCATTGCATTTTGTACTCTTTATTGTAAATGTTGAGATGAACTAATTTAACTTTTTTACAAATGACGTCAAATAATGTAGCCTCTTGGCTATATGTCCAGGAACCTCGCTGGACATTATACTGCTAAAATGAAAAATAATTTTAAAAAACACATTTTTTGAATAAAATGTTTACATGAATTTCTCTATCAAGGTTATCAAACCGTGTTCCCTTAGATTACTTAAATACCTAGAAATTAAAAAAAATTAACACATTTTTTGAACACAACAAACTAATATTAACTAAACAAAACTAAAAAACGTAATTTTTACTGCATCACAAGCAAATAAAAATTAATACGTAGCCAAGAGTCATAATTCAGGATTTCTCTGGGGGGTGTCCAGCAGAAAACGGCACCCCCGGGCACCCCTGTAGTTACGCCAATGTATTCGAGAGAATGCAACTATGCTGTTCTGAACTTTAATTAAAGAAAACTAATAATAATACAAATACTGTCTTCATACCAAGGATTGAGGTTTAATACATTCATAACTAAAGAGGTTTTGTTAGTTAGCAGGTCCCCACCTGCAGGTACTGAGGTCCCTGGGATTCGGGAGGCTCATCTAGAGTTGATATGGTTGGTGCCAGTATCTTTAGACTATGAGTTATACTATACCATTCATTGGTTTTGACTGCTCATTTGTGTTCTAAGATATTCGCCCAGGCACGGTTGGAAATTATTAGTACACGCAACAAGGCCCTTATTATCACACAGTTATACTGTCAAAAAGTTACACTGTTGTCATAAGTTGTGTCTCAAAAAGTCATACTGAACTAAAAACATCGGCACAAATGTACAGTAAACGATTGCATTTAGATTTAATTTTAAACTAGAATTTATTCACAGCCGTAAATGGAATCTATTAAATACATACACATGATATTATACAGGGTGTCCCAGAAATAAGTGCAAGTATTTTAAGGGGTGGTAGATCTCGATAAAAGAAACATATTTTCTCTTTATCGTTTTTCAAATAAGTCCAAAATAACGGAGTTATTTTACTCTGAAAATTTCCCAAAAAAATGATTTTATGCTAATATTTTGAGAACCACTGGAACTTTTCTGGATTTTCTTTCTTGTAAATTTAATCTAATATCTATGTTGCCATATTATCAAGGAATTATGTTGTTTAACTAAAAACTAAAGAAAATTCCAAAAAAAAATTCAAAAATTTTCGAATTTCCAAATTTTTTTTTTCGCCAAAAAAACCTCATAGGCCTGGGGGTTGAACTAAACTACTTGTCAGATCAAATAAATAAGGAAAAGCTTGGTTACAGAATATTACAATAGAAAAACAAAATATATTATGCTTTAGTTAACATTAGTAAAATAATGAGGAAACATGTACGTTAATAACCTTCTTTGGCACAAAACTTACAAACCAAAAAAAAAACATGAATGCGTCTCGAATTGTAGTTTAAAAGCTATTAACCTAATATTTATTATCGTTGTTATTTCTCTGATTTCCCTCTCTCTAGTTCTCAATAATATTTTAAATCAATAACTTTATTTATGTATACAGAGTGTCTTAAAAACGAGTGTTTTGAATTTAAAGAAATATGTTTATATGTTTATAAACAAAATGAAAGAAGCAAAAAATTCAGGCCTTGAAAAATATGTTTATTTTTAAATAAGCGGTTCATCTCAACTAATTTCAGGAAATGTCTACTCATGTGGTCATGGTCATGGAGGTCGACTGGGACTTGGTAATGATCGTACTGAACTGGCACCAAAACAGATAACATTTGAAAGGGGAGCTGTAGAAATTAAAGAATGCAGTATTGCTAAGAATCATAGCTTATTTTTATCTACAGACGGGCAGGTAAGTGTTTAAACACTAAATCTACCTTAAATATTGTTTAAAATGTATACCGTGCTGGCAACTGTTACTCTCGGGTCGGTATTTACATGTGTGGAAGTAAATCGTATAGGGATCTTATTAAGTCGGAGTGAGAGAAATGCGACGAAGTGCTGTTACGGCGTTGCCGGTACGCCTTTCCCTAACAAGTAAAGTAAAATCACGATCGCAAACCGCCTATTTTTAAAAGACTTTTTTTTCGAAGATAACTAGATAAATCATTAGAAATGTTTCTGAGCATCTGAAATTGAATTATAAGGATATCTTTAGGGTGTCATTTTTTTATAACGAGAAAACGTCAGTAATCGCGATAATATAAAAACTCAACTTTTTAACACATAACACGCCATAACTCAAGAAACACTTTAGATATTGAAACTTTTTTTTTATTTTTAAGATAGGATCTTTTACAATATGTTTACATAAGAAAAATTCGATAAGGTTGTTTTTTTCCATTCAAAAATTGTAAACAGCCCATCTATTTACTTTTAGAGCATAGCAATTTTCAGCAGTCTGTCTACGAAGAAAATATAGCAGAAATATTAAGAAAGCTTTTGAAAAAACTACAATCAATTATTTCTAATAGATTTCGAGATATCGAGTTCTAATAGCCCGACCACTGTCGAAAACCAACTCAGTTCCACTTATTTTTACCAAAAATGCAAGTGTTTCTAGCTTGCACTTAAAAATTTTCAAGCTATAGGGAAAATTACAACGACTCGTTAATAAATGAACAAATAGTATCACGAGACGTAATTAAATCGTGAAGTTGAACGTATGATGTACACCTTTCCCTAGGACTTTAAGTACTGACAGAGGTACTGATTGGGTCGACCGGTCAACTGCGACAAATCTGCTATATCCCCTTCCATGTCTCTAAGCAATGTGCACAGTTTCTCGATTTATTTCATACGTTTGGCAACGTGTTTACTGTTCTCTCTTTGTTCACTACATTATAAACGCATTGTACTCTTCTTACATACGGAAATCTCTACCCAAGACTAACCTTTGCCAGCCCTTAGTATAGGCTTGGTGCATTCTCCGCCGGTGCTGCCACTATCGGAGAATACCGTAAACAGCAGACTAAACATATGTGGTAATCGCAAAACAATTTCCGATGCACGTGATCAACTTTGAGTGACAAGCGATGGCGACAGCGCTGCCAGATTGTGATGGATTTATGAGATGAATCTTAATTTAAAATTGACAAACAATATATTTATTACATCATTTTTTAAAGAGTTTTACGTTTTATTTTTAATTTAATAACTAATATTTTAGTAATTAATTGATTTATTTGTTTTATAGCTTATTTTACTTATTACATATTGGCAAAAACTAGTCCATTATGAAGATTATTCTAAGCATTATTATGGGGTTATATATTTATTTATTTTTGTACATCTTACAACGCCATAAGTGGTAATAACAAGTAAGAGGGTGCTATTAATACACAAACTAATAATCACAGAATTTTGATAAAAACTAACGTAGAAATAACTTTGAAAGTGGTGTAATTTGCTTATCAATCAAACTTACTTCTTTGACTGCAGTCAAGGGTAATAAAGGACCTTTATTGTCACGTTCTCGCTCAAAATAGTTTATCAGGAAAGCTACAAGCTCTTTTTTTCGACTGTTTAAATGCTTCGGCATATTTTCAACACACAATTTCAAGAAATTCAATACAAAAACTCGAAAATTTACTTCTTAAAAGTACAATTTGAAAAAACTATGAAAATAGGCAAAAAACGAGAATTACTCACAAAGATTCAACAGCACGATATTATACAAAATAATGACTGACATTAGGATAATTGTTAAATAAACGACAACCTTGCTGAAAACGGCGCAATGTGACCAACATAGCTATAATAACATTCGGTTTAAACTAATTTTTGCAGCTTTAATCTAAATAAAATATCTGTTACAATAATTATTTGCTCTATAAAGTCAAATGAAGAGCTGCTCGGTATCTTAAATTATACAACAAATTTAAACGTTTTTGCCAAAATTTCATTTAGTCAGGTTTATAGAGTTTAGTGTCAATGTCGATATGATTGATGACGTGCATCGGAAAATGTTTTGCGATTACAATACACGGGTTTAAATACCGAGTATAGCTTATCTGAAATCAGTTGGAATCATAGACTTAAAATAAAATATAGACTGAGCATCTCATTCATAAATAGCTGGAACATGCGGTCAGACAATGTCTTGTTATTGTTTTAGGTTATAACGAGTGCGACACGAGCGATAGATAGGTTGTCTCTGTCGTAACGGTCGTTCCCTGATGACTCTGACGAGAAACACAACACTGTCTTTCGTTTCTCAAGTACACCTGAACTCTCAGTATCATAACCGGGTAATTTTTTTTATTTTAATGAAGCTATAATTAAATTAAAAATATATCGTATTTAAACTTTTTATATTTTATTAAGATTTAGGACAGGTTTTTTTAAATAAAAGTTTAGAAAAAAACGTCTTAGAATCCAAAAAGGATAAAAATAATAAAATACACGTTATAGAAGAAATTTTATAATCGAAATTACGTAATTGTTGAAATTAATAATAAATTATTAATTTTAGTCAAACATTTACAACCCCTAATATTAATCAAAACAGGATCTGTTTCACAGATATAATAGAATCGGTGACAGGGAGAAAAAAAAAATATGATTGTTGTAATTTTTTTCTGGTTAGGAAATCTGCCTTATTATGTAAATTAGAGAAAACATAAATCTGTTCCATTAAAGCAAAAAAGGTGATAGGAAGTGGATAAAATGAAAACTACATTTATTTAACTAGGTACTGTCTTTATTATACCGGGTGCGTCCCAAAAGTGGCTCATCCCCATAATTTTTTTATATTTTCAAATAAAAAAAAAACAAGATTTAGTATGTTAGTATATGACATTAATTATGATTGATTGACGCATTCAATTCTTTTTGGTCACTTCCTCTTTCACCGGAAATGACTAGAACTTTTAATTTTTAAACGGCACCCTCGGTATATTTCTACTTTATTCGATAGAAAATGACACTCTGAATAGAATATCATATCATATGTCAACTTTTGACATTTTTGCATATGGTTTAATTGTAATTGTAACAAGCGGTTCATAACGACAATTTGACTCGAAACACGAAGTGTGTGGTATCAATATATTCATAAAAAAATGCTTTTTCCAAATATGCTAATGAGTCACCCTTGTTCCGTTTGAAAAAATTGACATATGTATGATTAAAAATACGATTTGTACATCTTTTAACTGGCCTAGACAAGATACGAAACCCATTAGACGATCAAAACTATTTTTCCAAGGCTCCTTGATTAAAACTTAGTGTTTTTAACAACACCATGGCACCCTGGATTGAAATTTAAAATACGATTTGTTTTTAAGCGACAATGTCAAAAGTTGACATATGATATGTCATTCTATTCAGAGTGTCATTTTTTATCGAATAAAGTAGCAATATACTGAGGGTGCCTTTAAAAATCAAAAGATGTAATCATTTCGATGAAACAGGAAGAGACCAAAAACAATTGAATACGTCAATAAATCCTAATTTATGTCATATACCTACTAACATACAAATCTGTTTTTTTTTATCTGAAAAAATAAAAAAAGTTGGTGAGCCACTTTTGAGACGACCCGGTATATTAAAAAATATTGTTTCATAATGTAATATCATTTTAAAATTCTTGTATAATATTTTAGAAGATAATTTTAGAATAAACCGTAATATATTTTTAATAAAAACATTATTAATTATTAACAGGGTTATAATTATGATTTTATTACAATGTAAGTAAGTAAATAACGTAATGTAAGAGAAAAAATTCAGATTTTACATTTTACTAAGATATTATCTAAATAAGCGCCTTTCTACAACAACGCCACTGGCTCCCAATGGGTAAATTGAGAGTTGCCTACCGGTCGAAAGTCGTTTCAAGACTTAAATGGATTATTTAAGTCAAATTTCTTGCAAATTTGGCACTGGCGAACCATATTTTATAGTTCTTGAACAGAAAAAGTCAATAAAATAAACACTTAAGGACTACAAGCTAAGAAAATGCGTTAATACAATACCGGGGACATAGCGGCAACAAAGCTTTACCGCACACGTGCGACGCGTACTACAAGGTAATAAATGAATGAATAGGCTCCTTCGCCTCTAATCGGTGTTGTCATATTGTAAAGAACTTATCCTTTTTAAACAGTATCCGACTTATAATTTAGTAGTATAAGGACTATTTAATACATCTATGGAATATTAAAATCTACTTTATTAAAATATAGTATTAATATCTCAATATATGTGTATAACAAGAAAAAAATATTGATAATATTAAAGACGTGACAACATAGGCTGGATGAGGAAGGCTCGGTCGACTGTACCCAGAAGTAAACATGTGTACAAAAAAGATTGTTTGACCGCGTTGAGATGTAAATAGTGTAGTCTATATTTTATTTTAAGTCTATGGTTGGAATAGATCGGGATTTTTAATTTCGGCACTGTCTTTGTCGGCATCGATCGTTGGGACGAAGGAATTAAGCGTTTCAGTACCTCCAATTGACTTCGGAAATACTATACACGAAACATTTGTCCACAGAATATCTGGCTACGCAACAGAAAAATACTCGAAATGAAAGAGCTAAAATTGCACAAATAAAATACTAGATGGCGCGACAATATCATAGTCAGAATATAATTTGAAATTTTCAATTTTCGGTTTTAGATCGACGGCACGTCGACGGCCTTGAAGCTCGGCTAAATATGCACAGTTGCCAGATTCAAAAAGACTATAATTGGCATCCCATTCTTTTTCTGATGTATAATAATTTCTTTTTATTCTTCGTTTCTGGTCAGATACACTTACATTAATTATTCGTTTGGCTTTTAAAATAGTCAAGTTTTAAGTTTAAGTATATTATTAGAAAACATATGCTCACAAAATACATT